GACTCGGAGACTCCCTCTTATGTGCCAGGAAGAGTGAGTACTTGCAGCGGAGTAGGTGGTGAGACCGATTTATCTTGCTGCAAAACATCCTAGGGGAAGCAGGGCACAGCGTGCAGGGGACGCATGCCGGTGTTAATGCCTCCTTGAGACCGCAAAGAGCCTGGAGCAATAGTTCTGCAGAGGGAGACCCAAGCCATTTGTCTCGGAGTCCAATGATGATTCAGGCACCAGCATCATTAGGTATTTTATTGCTGAGCCAACTGAAGAAAACAGAGGCTGGGATAGAGTACCAAGGTTGACAGCAGGGGTCTATAAAGGTAGTTTACCCAGAAGCTGTCAGCTGAGAGGGAGAACGTTGCTGTACCATGGCAGTAGAGTGGCAGCAGAAAGTCCCAGCTGCATGCTGAATCATGCAGATGTGCTGGTGGCAGTGCCTCCCACCTCACCTGCTGACTGGGGAAAAGCCAGTGGGAAGGTGTTTTCATGTTATGGTGTTGCATACCACTGTAAAACAGTTTGCCTTGCACTCCTGGACTTTCTGGGCTGCACGGCTTTCATGGTGAGCAACGTCTCACTGATAACTAGTGCTATGGGGAACGTTAGGGCACACTGTGTTTCACTAGAGAGAAAATAATCCAACCAAAGAGATCCTGTAACCATTCAAGCTTCTTCAGTCCTCTCCCTTGGTGGTGCTGAGGTCAAGCTCTGGGGATCTGCCAATAACAAAAGTTATTGTATCTGTCAAGAGGTACAATACCCACAAGAGAGGGAAGGAAGCCATGTGCACCTGGAAGTTGTCTGCTTCCCTCCATGCTCAGAAGCTTCTCTCTGCTGCCCAGACCACAGGGGATGGGCTGTGAATTGTGCCTGCTCTTCATTTACTGCTGGCTGGTCACCCAGTGCTTCAGAGCTAGAGCAGAGGAGAGAAGCTGTGAATCCATCAAATTTGGTGGCTGTGTGGGAAGTAGGGGGTCATCCTTCCAGTTGCAGAGAAAAGTTGATAGTTTGGAACTAGCCTCCACCACTCTTCTGAGGGTGGAAAATGAGACAGGGTCCTCTTCTTTTCACTTTTCCATCTCAGCTTGGTCTGTGTTACACAGTTCATGTAGCTCTTAGTATTGCAGTTTGGCTGGTACAGTGTGCCCTTGTGCAACAGGCCATTCCGTGCTGTGCTGTAGGTAAGGTCCTGCAAACCCAGCTGGGTGCCCTGCTTTGTGTGAAGCTCTTGCCATGCACTGTGCAGAAAAAAGACTGGACCTGGAAACTGGATAGATGTGGGCTTAGCGTTGTGTTCCCCAGTCTGCTGGCTTTTTTGGGACCAAGCAGGAATTTCATGCTGGTTACACTGTCTAGGCATTGTTGTTCAAAGGGGTCTGATGTGAACTCATGGTACATGCACTGGCCCTTAGCACCAAACTGCCTGGAAGGAGCTTTAATCTGAATGTTCTGTGGGGTTTTTACTTTGGGGTATTTTTTATTTTGTTTTTAAGATTCTGTAAAGCCTCTATAGCATGGACAGTCCCCCACTGTGCTATTCAAGTCTGCCTGTGTCGGTATGGGTGGTGTGTGTGTGTGTGTGTATATATATATATATATGGTATGTTTTCTCTTATTTCATGTTTTGACATAGTTTCTGGAAGCACCCCCAGGAGAGGTCTGGTTATCCTAGGTACAATGTCACAGCCATCCTTTGGTGTCTGGGGCTTGCTCCCCCCAGAAAGGGCCCAAACCCAGTGAGGACAGTGGTAACATTTGCTGTAGAAGTAGAGTTAGGCTGGGATGGATTTTCTGTGACTGGAAACTCCAATCTCAGTCCTGCCAGAAACTTTATTTTCATGTATGGGAAAACCAACCTTTTTGACACCTTTAAACCCCTCTGTGCTTCATCTCTACTTTTTAAAGTAGGTTTTGGAAGGTTTTTGTTTGTGGTTTGGGTGTTTTGGGTTTTTTTTGTCTTTAAACTTGACTAACGTCTTCAAGGTTTTTTGGGCTGGTACTCTGTGATACAAAGTGCTCACTGAAAACTGCTGAAGGACAGGCCAGCTTGTAAAAGGAGGATATTGTCTGGAAGTTAAGTGTATGCCAAATTGATGCCAATACTCATGAAATGCAATAGAAGCAGGCAGTATGGAAAAAAATGCGAGGGCGTCCTAGACTTCATCATAGTCTTTATTGGGCTTCTTAATAGATTTTTTTAATATAATTGGACTTTTAATTTGACCAATTGTAATGACAGAATGAAACTGATTCTGTAGCCAATTCTTCCAAAACAGTTCAATTAACCTGTACATCTTTAAAATATGATTAATAACTTTTTGTAGGGTGCAACTTCTTTTCTGTGGGGTTGCAGGCGTATGTGGGTGGTTACTGAGAATACGTGGTACTCTAATCACTTCTTGCTGTCTCTCTTCCACTCTCAGATTCTGCTGCACACAGATATTATGGGCCAAAATTTGCCACTTCTGTCATCCTGGAAATAAACAGCACTAGTCATAGGGCAAAACATGACTTACTACAAATACAAGTGACAGAAGCTGAATCTGAAGAAGGAACAAAAATGGTCATTTTTAATAACTTGGTTAGTTTCCAAAGTGGAGAGCAAACGAATGAACTTGTATTATGCTCTAGGAGAAGAAAGAAGGATTATTACTGTTTTACAGAAATGTGATGAAGGGAGGGCAATTACAATGGAAATTGCTATTTGAGGCAGGGTGTCTAAATTTTGAAACGGGGTAGGTTTTCTCAGCAGCACCGCTGACATTTCCCAGTTTTTCACACTACGATTTTACAGTACTTCAGCTGTGAGTTAAGTAAGTTCAGATATTGCACAAAAAAGTAAATATAGATTTTACTTTTTTTACTTAAAAAGTAGATGCTCCGCCTGTCCGTGTCCTCTGTTAGTCACTTTTCTCACCAGACATTGATGCTGTATGCTGTCAGTCCATCTGCCAGCTGATGTCTTTGCTTCTCCATCTCTTAAGGAAGCCTGAACTGTGAGAGCCATTAAATGCATTTCAGACCTCAGTGTAAACTGGTCTGAGCCCTCCCACTGTTCTCTGCTGTTTACAGGGTGGTGCTGGGCAGGCAGGGGTGCTGGTAAGAACCCCAAAGAAACGTGGAGGGGGAAAAAAAAAATTCCTTTCATTCTCTTCCTGTTACAGCCCATGCAGATCTGCTTGGCTACTGCCATCTCTGGCAGCCCTGCATTTGGTGATACTGAAGACCAACCACAGCCTGAGCTGTGTTAGCAGGATCTTATCCACCAGGTCAAGGGTTTTTTGTCCTTTGTGTGGCACTTGTTAGGCCATATCTGTTGTACTGTGCCCAGTTCTGAGTCCCTGGTACAGGAGGGATATTTGTAAATTGGAGAAAGTCCACGAAGACATGTGGACTGGCATGACATACAAGGAGAAGCAGAGGGAGGACAAGAGGCAACAGTCACAAGTAGCAGCGTGGGAATTCCAGCTATATATAAGGAAAAAAATCTTCCCAGACAAGGTATTCAAACACAGGAAGAGGTTACCCAGAAGCACTGTGGGATCTCATCTTCGGAGGTATTCAACTTCAGAAGTTGGACTAGGTGACCGCCAGAGGTCCTTTTGTACTTAAATTATTCTTGTGGCTCCATGATTTTGTGCAAGAGTTTGAGCAAGTGTCTTGTACATGCTGTACTGCCTCTTTAATGCACCAGAAAGACTTCCAAACAAGCATCTTTGCACTCTGTTTCAGAACCAAGACTCCCTCAGGGCTCTCCAGACCACGAGCAGCTTTGCCACAACTTTGCAGGCTGCCACTCCTTCACCCCATGCACAATGAACTTTGTCTCTGACTGCCTGTATTTTCCTGTATGTGAAAATGGCTGTTAGATCCATCTCCATCTGAAAACAATTTCTGCTTTAATGAAGAGCCTGAAATAGTATAAAACATACATGAAAATTAAGCACTTCAACCCAGTGCTTTCCAAGCATTTCCCTGTGCTCCTCAACAGATGCTCATGGAAAACTTCTTCCTCTGGCAAGTCTTGCTAAGGGACTTGTGAGGGAGGGTTCTTCTCTCTTTTCACCAACAAATGTAGTGGATGAATGTTCTCCCCCCCCCCAAACTTTCAGGCCACCAGGCTTAAACAGACTGCAAATAACCACTATGTTGACATTTAAAATGAAATGGAGCACTTGGCTTGGGTATCAAGAGGTTGAAATGAGGATCCATGCTTTAGATCGTCCAAATGCTGTTTAGTCCATATTAACATATCCGAATAGGACAAATAGGAATTTTTCTTGAATTTCATTCTTGAAAAAAATCTCATCTATTCCATGGGAGAAAAAATTAGGGAAGGCCGTTTGTTTGCAAGTGTTCCATGTTTTCAAAAGATCATAGGCTAATTCAGGTTGGAAGTTATCTTGGGACATTTCTAGTCCCACGTCTTGCTCAAAGTAGGGTAGAAAATGAGGTTAGACCAAGTTATGCAGGGCTTTATCCAGTTGGGTCCTTAAAACCTCCAAGAACAAGAACTTTACAACCTTTTTGAGCTATGGCTATTCCAAATTTTCTGGAAAAATGTTGGTAAGATGAAGCCCTAGTTAAAGGAGTATGTTGCATTGTCAGCAGAGAACTGTAAGCAACCTGACTATGGCTTGAATAAGTCATTAAAATGTCCTCTAGCTTTCCCTTTGTAAAGTGGATCCAGTAGCACCGGAGGTGCCAGAAAGACTGTATCCTAGTTCGAGTTGCAGCTGAGCTTCGACGCAATCACAAGTGCTGGCACTGTCCTTGCCTTCAGCCCTGGAACTCATCCAGTTCTGGACAATGTCACGCTGGCCTTAAAACCCAGAGCTGAACTCTGGAGGCAACATGGGTTTTTTTGTTAATTTGGAGTGAATGAGAGAAACAATTGCTGAAGGGTGCTCTCTTATTAGCAGTCAGTAAAGTAAGAATTTAGGATTTCTGTTTGTGGTCTTATGCAAAGATAAGTTAATTGTGAAATTTCTTTGGAGAAGCTGCTGTGAGCTGGGAACATTGCAGCATATGCCAGCTTAGCAGAAAGATGCCACAAGTTACTGAGTTTGACCCAGGAATTCCTGGTCGAAAGATTATGGCCTGCGCTCTGTGGGAAGCCAGACAACTTCCAGGTTTTGGATCAGCAAAGTTCCTGAGCACTGCGTAAGCACTTGCCAAGTCCCTTTTGCAAGCCCCCAAACTCCTCTTTGCCAAGTTTTTAGTGGTCTCAATATTAGGACCACTTTCGTGAGTGAATGGTTCTGTGATTGGAGCGTAGAACAGTGTTGTTAACTGTGTCTAAGCTAATATGAGTCACAGAAGCTTTTTTTGAAGCATCTGCTCTGAATGCTGGCAAGGACTAGCTAGTTTTTGATAAGATGGAAAAGTTTCTCGCTTTGTCCCTGTCCCCTTTTCTGTGCACTTGAACTTAACGAAGCACCTTTTCTGGGTCAGCTTCAACAGGGCAGTTGAATTCCTGGCATTTATCTTCCTGCCTAATGCCAGAGGAAAAAAAAATAAAAATCAGTAATTAATAATTCCTTCTTAATCCAGACCTCCTGTGTCCCTGCTCAGGATATTCCAAGTCACCAAGTGCTGTTCAAAGGTATGGGAACAGTAAAAGCTGTGCTCTGAATGCTGTCATATACTGTGTGTTGTTAAGCTCATAGGTTGCTTTCAGGGACTCCCTGTGACAGCATATAACAGTAATCTTAATCTGATGTACTCTGATGGCTTCCTTGTTAACCAAGCAAATACAAGAAACAGCTTTTTGAACTGGTGCACATGTTTCCTTTTGATAATGATGCCCTCTGTCAACCTATTAATAGTAGAAGCAATGTTTAAACTTGCTTTCTCTCATTTGTCCATTGCTATAGAAGTCTCCCTTTTTGTTCTTCTAGAAATGGATGTCAAGCTATTGTTTGTATTTTGGGATCAGTTAAGGAGATAAACGTGTGAGACGGTCCCCAGCCTGCTCAGTTTACTTCATTCAAAGGGAGCGAAGGAGTAAAAATCATCAGAAGTGTGTAAACAACACAGGCTCCAAAATTCAGGAGATTGGGGTATCTAGAAGCCAAAAATTCACTGATAGTTAATGAGACCTACACTCCCAGATTTTTTTTTCAGGATGTAGAAGCCTTCTTCATGCTCTTTAATTGCAGGACAATGCAGACAAGCTTAGGCTTGTCCTCCACAAGGCGCAAAGCGCTTTTCAGCAGTGACTAATTTCATGGTGTAGATTAGACATTCTCCTTATTTTTTCTGATTTTTTTCCCCTTTCAAACTGTGCTGTTATATATCCTTTATGGTTCTGGATGTTGTTCCATCTAGGGGCCGAATCCTTATGGGAGGAATTCATCTGCGGTCACTGCTTCTCAGAAAGCTCCCAACAAGATTCATGCAGCTTAGTGTATACATGGCCATATTTTACCTCCTGTTTTGATCAGCTCTCCCACTTTTTACTTTCTAGATTGTATTTCAAGTTTCATGGATATTTTCTATTTTTATCTACACTGACCCTACTTTTACCTTAATTTTGTATTGCTTTTTTCATTACCTCTTCCAGATAACCTGCTAGCAAAGTTGTGACTGATGATGGGGAGATGAAACCTCTCATTCTACTGAGTAGGCCTTTAGTTATAGCTTCCCATACGAAGTGCTGTGTTTTAGAACCACCAGTTTCCATTACGAGCAACTTTTTCCGTGTTGACACTGCAAGTAACAGTTGAAAAAGTTTGGAGACCTTGTCTCTGCCTATAAATACACCAAATGAATCTTTCTTAGCCTCTTCTGAAGTCTTGTAGCTTAAGCTATGTGGTAAAATCCAACCACTGAGGATTTATGAAGCTTGGGTAATGGTAATTTATTGACTTCAGTGACTTTATTTACAAGGACAGCTGAAGGAGAAGCATTCATATTTTATTACTCTTCCTTGAACAATGACATTTTTATTTCTCAAGAATTGTTTTTCTTTTTTCATTTTAATTTAAAGGCAAAACACAGTTTCCCTTAATTTGACACATGATAGAAGATTGGCCTGAGATGCTTTGAATTCCTTTTTAAATAATTATGAAATTCACTGTCCAATCTTACTTTCTAATAGCTGTAGGATTAAAAGTTGAAGAACAGACTGCTCAAGAAGAATAAAAGTAATTGCTGACATGTCATCATTACATTTTTTTCTACAATAAAATAGATATTTTTGACCACTCCTTCACAAATCATCCTAATTTCAGTGGATGCTCTGCTACTACTTAATACCTCAACAAACTAATAGAAACTGTTACGAGAATAGCAGAACTAATTAAACCTGGATACCTAGGAGTTTATGTCCTAAACTATACACCAGCACAAAACCACCAGTTCTGGCAAGAGCAAACACCAGCAATGCTAGTCTGCCGCCGAATGTGTACGGGTTTGTTGGCTGTTTCAGGCTCACCGGAATATATAGCATCTGAGTTTTGCCTGCTTTCCCTTAACAGAAAGCACTAATTTTGGTCTTTCTTCTCTCTCCAGCTGCCAGATCCCTGAAACTTATAAAAATATAATTATCTGTGAGACTCCAACCCTTCTTTCAAATTTGGCTAAAATTAGCTAAAGAGAAAATTCACTAAAGGGAGCTGACAGACAGGAATCAGGCCAAAAATACATCAGCTATCATGTCAGCTGTGTGTGTCATGGGTAGCTGTTAATTTAATACTGTGTTTCTCCCAGACCAGCCTGTGGGCATAGCTACTCTGGTGATTGTTCTGTGCCTGTTTCAATGAGGAACTGCTCAGAAATGTTCAGGTCCATCCCCTCCAAACTCTGCTTAGTGCTGAGTGTCATCGCACGTTCTTGGAGGGGGCTTGGAGGTTTTCCATTCCTTGTGGATTTGGGAACACACCAGATGGCTCTGCACAAGGCAGGTGGGGCTGCTCCTTTGCGTTTGCCTGGGGCTAAGGGCTTTGGGTAAGAGCAACAACCAGGCTGTAATCTCTTGGGACCTGGGCTCTCGGCAAACACCAACCCTCTGCATACAAGTTGGTGTTGCTCTGTTGGCAGAAATAGGCAGGAATAAGCTTTCTCTCTAGATCAGAGATAACACGGTAAGTCCCCTTGTTGTAGCTGTATTTTTGACTGTACAGGACTCAGTCCGGCTCTTATGTTTTGAGCCCGTGTAGAGTAAGGTGCTTTCAAGTGTGCAGCAAGTGCTGTATCCAAGGTACAACACCCACTTGTGTTTGGCACTGTCACCCCAATAGCATCATATCTTGCACAGGCTTGGTTGAAGAGCTCGTTTTCATTGCGTGGGGGGGTTACCAATTTTAGGCCCTACTGCTGCAGAAGACCCATATGCCTGGATTTAACTCTGTGCCTGAGAGCACTTCTGTTGAAATCAATAGGCATATTCATCTATGCACAGTTAAGCTGCATAGGTTGTCCTGGCTGGGGTCTTTCTGCAAGGTATATTTAACACCCTATGTCTGCAAGGGTACTACAGCCACTATTTTGCTCGTATAAAGGAGATAGTAGTGCGTTACCTGCCTTTTCAAGGTGCCCTGCAGAGCTGAAGACTTAAAAAAAAAGTATTTTTCCATTGCACAGTGAGATTTGGTGAAGAGATTTCAGAGAGCGCTCTAAACTAGTTAGCTGTAAGTACTGTAAGCAATATAGCTGCATTAGCACAGAGCTCAGCTGGGTAAATTAGCATTGTGCAGCATAGACATACCCTAAATTTCTGGTATGGTTTCCTCAGTGACACTTTTTCAAACCACAGCTTGAAAATAAAATACGATTTTTTTTTTCACCCTTCCAAAACACTGTGCTAGGAAAGCTTGCATACATTTTTCTTTTTTATTATCTCACTATCTCCTCTTTTAAAATAAATTCTAATCTGACTGCCTCATTTTATTTCATTCTGGGTTGTTTTTGCTTTTATTGGTGGCATCCTCTCATTCATCTGAGCCTGGATCCCCTGTAACCAAGGCTGTTTCAGCTGGGGCACAGAAGATACTGCCTCTGCATTATAAAAGCTATTGTTTCAGTTCCCTCATGACCTCATGATGGAAGGCTAGGCATGATCAGAAAAGGAACTGAGATCTATCATTATGTGTCTATATAAATCTATGCAGTTTCTGATCACACCATCTCAAATAGGATGCAGTGGGACTGGAAAATGCTCAGAAAAGGACAAGAAGGATAATAGATGCTGTAGCTTTTATAGCATGAGAATAAGTCATGTTCTTCAGTCTGGGGGGAAAAAAGTGACTGTGGGAAAACAGATGAGGGGTGCCATGGATGTCTGTTGTGATGACTGGCATGGAGAAAGTGAGTCAGGATTTGCTATGGGCGGCCACAGTGCAAGAATATGTGGTGAAATTCACTGGGGGAACAGGCTTAAAGGTCTTCAAGGAATAACTCTCCTCGCAGTGATTGATAAGCAGTGAAACTCATTGCCACAGCATGTGGGCAAGGAGTTAAAATGATGACATGGATGAAGGTAATTGCCTTGATGGTACTTCAGCAATGATTAAGGGGTTTAGTAGGTGGAAATAAGGAAGGTGAGGATGGATTATTCATCTCAAAGGGAGAATAAGAAATTATTATCCTTTGTCCTTCTAGGAGTGGCTCCTCGTTATTCTAGGTACTAAGCTTGCTCTACATGTGACAGCAAAACTACCATTTTGCACAGTGTAAGTTCTTAAGCTAAAGCACTGAAGAGCAAGGGAGAAAGAAACAAACCACTACTGCCTGAGGTGTGTTTGCTCACTTGGTCTCCCAGAGGAAGAGTAGCATCATAGCTGTACCTGTTTGAAAAGGCTGTAAGAAAATGAAAACTGCCATGGTATGTCAGAGATTGATGCCTACCCTGACATACATCCCCTGCATCCCAGTCCAGGTGCCTAGGAAATTCCCAAGATGAAAGTTACATTAGGATTGCTCTGTTTAATCAATTACAGTCGCTATTTTAGACCCCTGTAAATTGGAAATAAGGGCAGAGGTAAAATGAGAAATAGCCAAGATCATAAGAACCTATATAAGGCTTCAGTTCTGCAAATGTTTAAACATTCTGTATAAGGTTCTCTTTCAAGCAACTTGCTAAGGAGAAGGTGTTTTTGTAAGGAGAATCTTGGTTTGGTAGAGAATGGACTACATTTGGTATTTGAAGTCTTATATAGCTAACTTTTCTTAACAGGTTGTAGTTTTCAATGACATTTGTTTAATGGCTACGTGATGATTTTCTTCATCCTGGCTCCAACGTCCCAAGAACCGGGATGAATGAATGGAGTGAAACTCATGGACTATTGGCATTTTCCATCCTTTAAAGAGGTAGGAGACAAAGTTTTAAGCTTATGATTGATATATGGATTTTGGAGTTGGTTTCACTTTTGGAGGAGTAAATATGAAGGTTCTGGGATCAGATAATTTCTGCCTATCTGAATGCTCATTCTGGGGCAGAGCGATTACCAGAAACTGGACTGCGGGCAGTAAAATACAGGTTTCAATGTACAGAGTTTAGAATTGGCTAAAAAGATAGCATGACTGGCATAAGAAATCTGATCCCTGATCTTGGTTATGTGCAAGCAGTCAAAAATAGTGTTATTTTTGCTAGAAGAGTTTGTTCTGTCTCTGCCTTTATACCTGGCAGAGAGGCAGTAACTCCGAGGCACAAATCAGGAACTCCCACACGCAGCCCTTGATTGCTTCTTTTTCAACTCACCATGCAATTGCCATATGTGAATCTAGCAAGTGACACTTCCTAATGTAAAGCACTATCACTTTCCTAAAAGTACAAGCTTAAATAGACTGTATGATTGTGTAAATGAAATCAATACCAAGCCTAGAATGTGAAGAAGGATGGACTTCTAATAGAGGACAAGCGGTCTCTCCTAGTAACAAATGGTAGTTATTGATACTGGCGGCAAAAGGCCAAGAATTCAGACATCACAGAATCCTGGATTCCTGTGTGTATGTGAAATAAAACCTAGTGAATGACAGGTACGTTGAAACTCTGCAATGGTGGTCAGGTTGTGCCCATCCTTTTCTGTTTTCATCCTCTGCCTATTCTGCTACTAAGATTGTCAACACATAAATCAGGGCAGAGCAGTGGGTAATCGCATCCGATCCTTCACTTTTCCAGTATTTAAGACCTATCTTTCACAGATTATCTCAGCATCCCGGCAATATGCCTACAACATACAGAGGCTGTTTGCAGAGAGTGGAGGAAAAAAGTGAGGCAGCCTGGGAAATTTCTGTCTTAGTCTCTTCCACATTGAAACAACAGTGCTGCTTCAGAGAAGATCCAGAGCCAGCACGCACCGGCACTGCAGGGGTGAGTAAGATGGATTTGGGTCTGGATCTCCAAAGCACCGACAGGTAAATTACAAAGGGCAGAATCTTCATTACTGGTGATTTAGGAGGCATAAAGAGACACAACTTGATTTGTGGATACCAAGTGGCGTTTTCAAGGCTGACAATTAATAAGGTGAAATCGACTTGTAAACTGAATGAACCTGACACAGGGTCATGGAGAGAAAATTAAATTTGGAAGCACTAGTGCCATTTTTCTAGTTACTTGTGAGAAGAGTGTGGAACTGTGCTTGCAGATACCTTTCTACTTCTCTCCTTCTGTGCTTTTTTCCTGCCCTCCCACCCCAAAATTCAAGCCTTTCTTTGAGGATTTAAGTATTTAGCTTCTTAATCTTATAATTTGAAGTAACAAGACAGTTGGGTGACATTTTACAAGATGAAAACCACTGAGTCAGCCTCTCATAACTACACAACTGTTAAAATCCCCATATGACTAATCTCTAATTCCCAGCAGTCTACTGCAAATAAAATCATATATTGAACTGTGCTACTTTAATATCCCAAATAAAGCTCCCACACGACTTCCAGTTCAACTCAGAGCTTGGTTAGCCTAATACTATGGTAATGTTTATACAGATCATAGACTGCATTAAATAAAACTCTCCCCATAAATGTTGTGGGAGATTATATTAAGATAAACAGTCTGTGAAACCTCCTTAAAAATGCAGGGTGCTTGGCCTCCTGTGAAATGGTATTTAGGAAGATTAAGCCACAACAGTACTTCTGAAAGTGTATCTTTACTCCTCCACAACCGAAGGACTATTCTGAAAAAAAGATTCCTTTGCCTATGCTGATTTTCAGCCCCATCCTTTCAAACTTGCATACAAAGGGCCCTTTGGGAAGCAGCTTTCTTGGTTTGCTCTCCAGACGCATGTTCCTGGGTCCAGGAGATCTCATTTGCTCTGTTTCCTTTCCAATGAGCTGCTCACAGGTGATGTTAGGGGATGTATGATATTGGTACTCTTTCACAGATTCTCTATTAACTTTCAAAGTGATGGGATGATTTCAGAGTTGGAGGCAAATGAAAAGATAGCAAGAATCAAACCTGTGCATTTGTAAAGAAAAGATGGGGCATGGTCCCTGCCTATTTTTAATGGCATCCCCATTCAATCCCAATTCAGCCCCACCCAATCCAGGGGTGGGCAAGAAGCTGCTTCTGGGCTTCCTGGGGGTTGCAAATCATTGAAAGGCTGATCTGTGCAGCATGGGAGCTTTCTTTTGTGTGAGGGAGCGCAAAGTGTGGCTCTTCTGCCTGCTTTTCGGACAGGCAGCACCTTGGGTACAAGCTGTGGCAGGGCTGGGGTCCTCCAGGCCCTTGGATGCAGAGAGATTTGGGGATGGGTCCAGGCTCTCAGAAACGGAGGTGTTTCAGGACGAGGTCCTGGCTGGGGGAGGCAGAGCAAGCAGTAGGAGACTGGTACATGGTAAATGAAGATTTTGCTATGTGGCTGGATTGCTAGATGATCCTTTCCTTCCTCCAAAGCTGGTTTGCTTTGACCCTTTCCTTCACCCGCCTTTCAAAGAAGGGTAGTGGTACAATGGCAGTATATTCTGGCTCTGTAATATGTACTGTATTTTCCATAATGGCTTGTATCTTTGCTAGCAGCAGATGTGTTTCACTTAAACTGCAGTTTCAACACTTTATAAAAAAAAACAAAAACAAAAAAACCCCCACCAACCTTGAGTGTTACCAATTACTGTGCTGAGGAAGCTTCTAGCGTGCAGTCAGAGCTGCTCTGGATGATACAACATTAGGCCTTATATCTTTCTCTTCACTTAGCAAACACTGTGACTTGGAGGATGACCTGTGCCACTGTGGATTTTCACAGTATTTTTATTGTGAAACACATAAAAGAAGATCTCAGAAGTGCTGCGTGCTGTACAGCCTGCGTGACTGCCGTCAGTGCTGTGTTCCCAGTACCTGATGCGGGAAAGGGAAATGCAAATGAAACATTTGTCTCTTCAGAAAAGGTTCCGAACTGCTTGAATCGGAGGGATGGGCTGAGGCTGCTCTGCAGATCAGAGCTCTCCTCTACCCATGCAGTGGAGAGCTGAATCTGCCTTTGCACTTCTTGCCTGTTGGTACAAATTTGTGGTGCCTGCTTGCCAGCTGGTGACATGAGGTGGTGGCTCCTGCCCCTGCCCAGGGGGGAGACCCTGCATAATATTAATCGTTGGCTGCAAACTTGGCACCTTTCAGCAGAGAAGCTAAAAAGGCACTGGCTCCGAGTCCAACTCCCCCCGCCGCCCCTCCCCGCTGCGGTCCCTTTGCATCGGGCTGGCGCAGGGAGGGGGGACGCACAGCACTGCCCGCTGTGCTGCAGCTGCTCCGAGCTGCGGCACCGAGCTGCTTCGGGGTTGTCAGTCCAGCAGCTGTCACGGTCCCTGCGTGGATGCAGACTTTTTTAAAAGGGGTTGCAAAATGTCAGGGATTTTATCTGTGTGACCTGCCCCTGCTGTGCAGACCAGAGTTGATGCGCAGCACAGAAATGCAGGTAAGATGATGCAAATAAGCACACAGAAGCACACACACAAAAGAACTTTTGCTGGGTTTAATTCAAGAGGGGATTTATTTTTAGGATATATGTTTATTTCTGATGATTATGTACGTGCCTGCACGCAGTCAGCTTTCACCTCCTTGTGGCAGGCAGAACCCTTGATCTATGCGGGGTAGTGGCAGGGTTTTCATTCACTCCTCTACTTTGGGCTGTTATTTTAGTATTTTTGTCTTAGCACCCCAGTTGGTTACAGCGCCCAGCTGGAATTGCGTTCTCTTGTGAGCTGTCTGTAGATGAACAAGGCAGGCAGCAGGACTACAGCCTGGTCCCCATTAGACCTGGAGAACGGTACCTCTTCTCATGTCAGATATAAAAGTCTTAGGAATCATTTTTGCCATGACACCATTCTCCCACAGAACAGATCCCAGATTAATGGCCATTGTAGTTAAATGCTGAGAACTGAGATGTATCTGCAGAAAGAAAGGAAAACCTTTGAAGGCTGAAGTGATGTAAACATTTTGATTCCAGTCCTCTGTGTCTTTTCAGGTTTTTACCTTGGTTTTGTCACGCACACATTTTTCTGAGACCATTTATGCTGCCAGTGAAAATCTAACTTGATCTTTTTCTTGGAAGTAAATATAGTCTGGTTTGATGAACACTAGTCAGATCTTCCTAGTTAGATGGGGAATGGAAAAGGAAAACTCTTTTTTTGTTACATAAAACAAGTTTTGGTGTCCCCTACCCTCTGGCTTTTTAACAGATAAAATGGCTTAGAGCAGGAATAAATTATTTGGTGTGAATATATTCTTGGAAGGATAGTACCCTAAGGTTTCCCAAGATCTGTAGTTTTTACATGATGGAGTTTTACTACCTGTGCATCTGGTTGCATTTTGTGGGACATCAAGATGTAGGTCTGCGTGCACATTTCTGCTTCCTAGATTCAAAAGGTGGCAATCAAAATGTTGCCCCTCACTTACAGATTTCTGGCTATTGCTTCTGGTTTCATTGCAATTGTAATTTAGGGACCAAGTGTAATGCTTATTGACCTCATGCTGTAGCTGCAAAAGATGCAGCTTGTCCTCTGCATCTCAGTGGGGTGCTCGTGTGAAGAATCGTGGTTCCACTCTTACCTGCTGCTTTGCCTACCCACGAGGGCAGGGGCATCTCACACCACTGCTGCTTCTTGTCACTCCAAAAACCACGGACTGCCTATGTCTGGTCCTGGCACTTTGCTCTAGATTGTCTAAAAAGCTTATGAAGTTAACAAATAGACAAAGAAGAGTTTGAGAACCAAAAGTCATCAATGTAAAAAAATCTGAAGACAAATAAATCTTCTCAGAATTCATAGTTTAAAGAAAATGTTCTATTTCTAAAGCAGTCTGATGAGGAACCAAGTCATTAATTTTGAATGCTGATGGCTGGTGAGAAGCCTGGGTATGGACTCCAGTGAATCAGTCATGACTGTGTTTAATACTGATCAGAAGATCTAGAAACGTTAAGGAAAACTGCTGCACATTTGGGTTTTATTGTAGGAAACCCTGCCGTTATGCTATTGAGAAGCTTTTCAGCTAATGAAGTGCATGAGCCATTTTCATGGCATCTAGCAAAACATGTAAAATACCGAATGAGAGAGCAGGGTAAGGATAGGTAAGACTGAGAAGTTCTCGGTCTTGTATCTACATTTCCCGGGGCAGCTAAAAGGTAGGTGAGAGATCCCCTTTTCTTGCCTGCGACTGTGTCTAGGCTATGGCATATGCCTAAACAGCTCATGGTTTCTGGTGGTTTTGAGTGTTGCTTGTTAAAATTCTTCTTACAGTTTGCACAGGCTTTTACTTGATTCTTTGCATGGGGCCTCAAAGGCATATAAACTAAAGCTCCTTCAAGTTTTTAATGTTTTTCATGATTTTTTCTTGAAAATAACAATAGAAAATACCGCAAGAAGATCCTATCTTGTGAAGTCTTTACTTCAACCCATTTGCCGTTTCCTGGTACGTTTAGTATGGAACTGCTGTGAAGCATCTGATCACATAAAACTATGTTTTCCAGTGACATTCATGCAAAGGATCCCGGGCAGAGATAAATGTGCCTGATTTTCTGTGCTAAGATTAACAGTGTGGAATAGCAGCAGCTCCACAGTAAAAGACTCTTTTGCATTTTTCCTGCACTTTCCCACATGTCTTTGAAATGTAGAAAGTCATACTTTTGAACATGTTGAGAGCCAACAGATGTTGTAACTGAGATGTTTGAGGTAAGTGCTGTCAGAAGCAGTAACCTACCTGAGTGTCAATGTGGTACGTACTGTGCACAGGTTCTGCAGAGTAGTTTATCTTAAATTTTAGGGTAAATTTTGTAGTGTGGATGTAATATGGACATAATATGGAGAACACATTCTTCAGATTGATGGAAGATAGTAGGATAAAGGTAGTATTAAGGCCTCCATAAGTCAAGCACAAGACAGAGGGATGGAAACTGTTGAGGGAGACCAACTGTGGTAAGTCTGGCAGAATAAAAGCAGAAAAAGAAGGGTTTTGGAGATCAGGTGCTTGTAAGGAGTGGTGGGGGTTGTACAGATATTATCCCCTACCTAGGTTCCCAGGCAGAAGGCTGAGCACACAGTACTTCTTGCAATCTGTTTTTCTGCTCGAGAATGGTCTTAGCAGAGATGCCATATGCACAGCACTGTATTAAAAGTACGTTTGATCATTTGTCATGGCAATAGTAGAGCAGTAGATGTGGCAATAGGAAGCAGAACACTAATATGAGTGCAAATGGAAGCTCGTTTCAGTGGATGTTCCTATTCTGCTGCTGGAAGAAACGTGGCTGAGAGATAACACAGACAGCGCAGCAGCCTGTCAGCTACCTTTCTTCATTAACTTAGACTGCAATAAACCACAGCTTTTTAAAACAAAGTTCAAGTAGCCAGAGCCTCTCCGCGGAAATTAATTTCCTCTGGAAGCTAGTTTCACATAACTCATCACCTACTTCACTGAACATTATTCAGCCCTGCCACTGGTGACAGAAGTGCTTGACAGAGCTGCTGGAAACTGGGTCATGCGGTGGATAAAACACAGCCTGCTTTCCCAGGCTGCTTTTAGCGTGGACCTCCTGAGATCGCAGTAAATAATAAATACCTGCAGGCCACCGCGGGCACTTTGTGCAGTGCTGCAGAGCTCATCTTTGGTCCGTGAGAGCAGGAGATCATGTAACGATATAAACCCATGAGGTAGGTATGCAGAGAGAAACTTTGGCTGCCTATCTCTGTTTCTGAGCAGTTACTGTGCTGATTTTTTTCCGAAGTATGGGTAGGTATACACTGTTGGACGATGCAATTTCTTCCCTCGCAGGCCTGTGTCCCAGGTTGGGGATGACTTCTGAGGACTTCGTTGGTGTGGTGGTAGCAGCTGTTGGTCATCGATGTCTCACCAGCTTCACTGACAAGAAGAGCCCTGTGGGCACTGCTCCTGGGTAAGCACCCAGCTACGCCTGGTTACAGGGGGAGATGTTTGGCTGCAAGATCAGGATTGCTGCCAGAACAGCCACTTCAGGTCTCCCCTGTAGGAAAAGGCAATGGGCCATGTGGAAGTTAATGTCTTTAAGAAATCTTTATTAAAAGTGCAAAGCAGTGCTGTTATAGGCTTCTAGAAGTCATATCTTTTGCTTGAAAAGGAACCTGCAAAGAACTAAAATCTGTGATCTATTTTTGTAGTGTGTAATTATCTATTCCTTTCTCTTCCCTTTCCCTCTCCCCTTCCCTTTCCTTTTTCTGTTCTTCCCTAGAAAGGTTAGGAGTTTTCCCAGTTATTGTTTAACAGCTTGTTATCCAGCCTGGAAATGCTGGATTTCGCTGCTTCCTCTCACTGGAAGAACCAAGGCACTGAATCATTAACAAGGCTATCTTTTGTGCCAAATGTTTGTCTGTGATTAATGTTAAGCAGTTTAAAAAAAAGAAAAAAAGATTAAAATATCCTCTCTACTAAAATACTAATCCTGCAATTTTCTTCCACAAAAATGTATGTTTGGACAACTCTATTCACACACATTTCTTTTTTTCTTCTGTTAGATTGTACTCCAAAGAAGTTTTACCCTTCCTTCCTCACCACTCTGCTTGGATGCCTTTGTAGTGACTGGAGCCAAAAACCACAGGATCCCAAAGGTGAAGTTGCATGTTATGGCTGAGCCTTACAAACAACTTGTAGCTACTAAGGGGGAAGAGATCCTCTTCTTCTTTGTCCTTCCTACTCTTGCTCTTAGCTGTGCAGTCTCATGATGACATGCTCATCCTGGGTCAGGGTAACCCCCAGTATCAATACAGGCTGGGGTAAGAAAGGATCGAGAGCAGCCCTGCGGAGAGGGACTTGGGGGTACTGGTGGACAAAGAGCTGGATATGAGCCAGCAATGGGCACTGGCAGCTCAGAAGGTCAACTGTAGGAGGGCTACAAAAATGATCCGAGGGCTGGAGCACCTCTCTTATGAGGACAGGCTGAGAGAGTTGGGCTTGTTCAGCCTGGAGAAGAGAAGGCTGCGGGGAGACCTAATTACAGCCTTTCAGTACTTAAAGGGGGCCTATAGGAAAGATGGGGAAAATCTTTTTAGTGGGGCCAGCTGTGACAGGACAAGGGGCAATGGTTTTAAACTGAAGCAGGGTAGGTTTAGACTAGATATAAGGAAAAAATTCTTTACAATGAGGGTGGTGAAACACTGTAACGGGTTCCCCAGAGAGGTAGTGGAGGCCCCATCCCTGGAAACATTCAAGGCCAGGTTGGACGGGGCTCTGAGCAACCTGATCTAGTTAGCGGTGTCCCTGGTCACTGTGGAGGGATTGGACTAGATGACCTCTAGGGGTCCCTTCCAACCCAAAACATTCTATGATTCTATGACTCTGCAGCTTGTAAAACTTTTTACTGAACTAATTTCACCCCTATCCTGGTAGAAAACTCAATTGCTTTTTCTGAGGTAATTTGCTGCTGGATTACTGGGTTTTATCAGTTGCCAGAGGCTTCTAGCAAGTACCAGAGTTGGTGGAAAGTAAGCAAGAGAGCATGTCTAAGAGTGATGTAGGGGGTGTAGGACTTCCCCTTTACAACAGCAGCAGCACAATGTTGGATGGGCTCAGCTGTCCATCCTCTGCTGCTTCCCTACTGGGATGGAGTCACTCATCACTTGAGCTATAGTAAATCACCATATGTGAACTCTCAGCCTGCCTCAAGAATTGAAGGGTGGCTGTGTTCACACAGAAATACTGTCCTGAATGTTCAGGTGAGATGAGTGTTCCTGCTGTCTCTCAAGCCATGTTTCACCAGGATGAGGGCTGCTCTTATATCAACTGCTCTCTAGTAGCAGTGCATCCCCTTGGAGTGGATGGCAGTATTCCTTCAGGGGATTTCTCAGGGTAAAGAGAGATGTGGATTTCATCCTTCCAGAGGTTTTTTTGATAGTGATTGGTCCATGGTTAGCCTTGAGGTGATGCTAGTCAGAGAAAAAAAATGAAGAAGAGAGCTGCCCCCATTGGAAGCAGAAAATTGGATTAACAAATACAAATTGCAAAGTATTGCAGAGATATGAAGGACAATGCCAGTGGGTCAGCTCCTGTTAATCTTGCTATGCTGCCAGCTTTTCATCTCCATTGCCTAGCAGTTATGTGCAGGTGTCTCCCAGTTCCCTCAGTACAAGCAAGCGAGGAAGCAGATATCCTCCTGGGAAACACTTTTGTAAGGCTTCCATCTCAGTTGGTGCTATGCAAAAGAAAAAAGCAGGAAAGGCTTTAATAGCAAAATAGAGAGCCCCAGCAGTCTGAGCAGCATGAACGTCACATTGGTAGATGGGCGCTGTTGCCTTTAATAGGTTATCTTTTTCCATTAGAAGACTGTTTAAATTTTTAAGTGGTGCGCAAGCTCATAAGGGCTTTTACTGCGTGGGTTCTGATTTTCATGTGGGTTTTGAATGTGTGGAAGAAGCTGATGCATTAAGAACTGCTCATGAATCTCCACTATTTCCAGTCTTCCCCCTGGGAGCTATTGATGGTCATTTCATCTTTCTTATGTGACTTTTAAGATCCTCAAAAAAAAAAAAAAAAAAAAAAAAAAAAAAAAAAAGAAATGTTTTTCTGGTTACTTCCCAGTGGTTGAAAATGAGAAGTAGGACATAAATTCCAAAGGGCTTAGATTCAACTAAACCCACAGTCAGGATCCTCAAAATTTATTTTGACATAAGTTCCAAATAAAGTTAAAGCCATGGAAAAGTAAAAAACAACCAAAAAAACAAAACCAAAAAACAAAACAAAAAAACAGAAATAAATGACAAGTTTTCTATCGCGATTTGGGTTGAGTGTTTAAATAGTTGTGCTGATGCACAATATATCCAGCAAAATGACTAGCTTCCAGATGGGAGGTGAGGAACAGTGTTAATGAATTATGGGTCTGAAAAAAGGTCATTTTTTTTCCTATTACATAGACTTTAAATCAGTCAGTGTTTCACTTGCTCTTTCTTCCAGTCAGAATGCTGCATATTTTAATATCTCTTTTCTTTGGTGTTTGCAGCTAAAGTAGTTTCTAATTTGCTTTATAACTTATTATAGGTATGGAGAGAAACTTAGTTGTATAGAGAAAATGCTCCTCACTTTGAAGATCTCGTTTGAAAGGCTGATGGAGAAATGCCCTGAAATTAAAGATATTTTCAGGTTCAGAGAACAAAGAGGGGAAGCACAGAGACCCGAGAAAGAAAGGTAAGCAACTTATCTATTGGAGAAATTGCCTTGAAGCAAGTGAAATTATTTCCCCAGAGATAATTTGGTCTTAGGAGTCAAATTGTCACTAAACAAAAAGCCAAATCAAGAACAGCAAATTGATTTTTGCTTCCAGTGTCTTTCCTCTATTTTTTCCCTAATTAAAAAGTGAAGAAGGATGTGATAAATCCAACTATTTTTTTCCTCGCTGTTGCACTCTGCCCTGAAGAACCTCTTCACTGTATCCATTTTACAGGGGGGATGGAATGAAAGCTCCTAGGTTAAATTTTCAGAGGTGAGAAACTACATTCAGTTTAATTGGAAAAGCAATGGTTTTGCAGACAGCAAACACCTGCATCTCTGCCTATCGTTAGGGAAAGTTGTATGTGCAGCATCTATGTGAAAAGGGTCACATACAATAGATGTGAGGTATAAGCACTCAGGTCTGTGGGTTTGGTCCGAGTGATCCTGTCGAACACATACAGAAACTCATGGTGGGAAAAGGAAATTAAAAGTTTGCAAAAAAAAAAAGAGAAAAAATTAAAATAAAGGAGTTCAAGTCCCTTTCTTCTTGACAAAAGTCAGCACGCGTGTCTTTTGCGATCATATGTTTCCTCTCCCAATACATGCATGCATAGAGACTATGTGCTTCTTCCTGCTTTTGGGTCTTGCACAACTTTCCTTCACTGCTCCTGGACACTCTGTGCAATACTTCCCTTTTGGGTTCTCATTTTCCCATATCTGACGCTAGTGTTTCTCACCAGGTTCCTTCTCTCTGCTATTCATTTGTTAAATGAACAATTTTTCCCTGAGTTAAATGGTTTTTCCTGGGGAATGGATGACAGGGCACACAAAACGCATCCAATTGTTGCTTGCATGTTTGGAGACAAGAAAAGCAAGATGCCAGCTCTAGGGGAAAGCTCGGAGTTTGTGCTGTGTAATTTATGTTTAATGCTGCAGCGGAATCTGTTTTTGTGTCTGGCTTTTCAAAGATGTAACTTCTGGGACATGTTTTGCAGCTACTCTTGTGCATGAGGGAGTAAAGGACACTTTGACTCACTTGAGATCCCTAGAAATGTTAAAAATAAAGGGAAAAAGAAAAGTGCAGGAAAACATGCTCGTGAAACTGCTAAGGTTTAACAGGTGTCTTTTCGTGTGTATCCTTTATTTTCCCTTCTATCTCATAAAATTTAAATGTGCTAATCCTATGAAGGATTAAAGCTGTAATGTCTCCATGCCATATTTCAGTATCCTGGGCTTTTCTCATGGGTTAGCATTTGAGCTGTAATGAGCTTTGAGGTTTGGTGGAAGCAGGGGATGCAACTATTTATGCATGAAATGACAGAAGGTAGTGCCTTTTCCTTGGTGAAGTGTTATTCTTACTTTCAGCCATGACGAAATCTCTTCAGTCAGTCACATGACACCTTAAAGCACCTGGGAAATGGGATGTTTCATTTGGGTGCACTGAGACCTGATCTGCTCTTTCTGGGTGGGGGGGGAGGAGAGCTGATGGGGGAGGAGAGATGGCCTGGATGCAGCTCCCGTTCAGGGTACCAAAACCAGTTCTGTAGAGGCAACCTATGCACTTCTGTGTGATGGCATGCAGAGCTCAATGGTGACTTCTTTAGGAACGCAGAAGGGCTGGCACATCTAGTGCTCAGGCTGGGGCCTGTTGCTACCCTTGCTGTCAACAAGAGTGGCGTTTGAGTTCAGTGGGAACAAGGAACAGCCTGGAGAGAGTAAGAGTGTGTTGCACAGAAAATGAGTGGACTATTAGAGATGTGGAGAACATCATGAGTGACCTGCTCTGGGAGAGAGCAGAAGAAACTTGTGCTGATGGAAGAACTGGGAGTGCTGCCTTCCTGCGAGGAGAAAAGAAAGTAAGAGCAGCATTGAGCAGAGAGGCAATGGCACCTGTGTTTTCTGGAAATGCAAAGCAGTTTGCTGCGGGATTGGTTGGCTTGATTTTATCCAGGCAAGGAAGCTGGTATCTTCTGGTGGTATTAGGGTTGGGAAGCTTCATGTCATAGCCTTCCTGTTACTATGTGATGGGCTTCATGGTGTTTGCTTAGGTCTGGCATATCTCGGAAAACAAATGTGAAACCTGCGTGTGTGGAAGATCTGGGGCTTTTTTGCAGCCCTGCCATACAGTGTATCTGATCTCCGCCCCAGTGGCTGCCCAGTTGCTCCTTGGTTCAGCTGTGCTGGGTGCCGGGGCAGCATGCATGAAGCAGTCCTCATTCCTAAGGCTTACACCAGGGTGGTGACTGAGGCTGGCTGGGCGGGTGCCGTCCTCCCTCGCTGCCAAAGCAGCCCTGCCATACAGTGTATCTGATCTCCGCCCCAGTGGCTGCCCAGTTGCTCCTTGGTTCAGCTGTGCTGGGTGCCGGGGCAGCATGCATGAAGCAGTCCTCATTCCTAAGGCTTACACCAGGGTGGTGACTGAGGCTGGCTGGCTGGCTGCCTGCCTGCCTGCTGCCAAAGCCAATGCATCTGGCCAGTGTTTTCCCTCTGAGCTGTTTCCAGGCCCATTGTGCCAACAGGAGAGGAAGTCAGGAAATGTGTGTTTGCCTGTTGTTGCTTAATGTCTTTTATAAACACCTTGGGCTCCACCCAAATCACACTGAAGGCAATAGGATTCTTTTGAGTCTGAAGAGCTGGGCCTGACCTGTTTGTAGCCACATATTATGGAAAGCCAGAGAGCCAAATTCACGGTGCATCTCCCTTGCACTCTAATACTTATTCCCATTACAAATTTTATTCAGTGTGTGTTTGCTTACAGCTAATTTGTCCCATGGTCCCTGCCTTGAAGCCCTTTGCAATCCAATATTGACTTAGTAAATTCATACTGTGACTAATAATTCAAAGAAAACACCCTGGGGCTTAACCTGTCCTCTGTCCCACAGTGTTTGGTTTACTCTGGGTTGAGATGGTCCTGAGTGTAAATGGTAGTTGGTCATGAGGAGTCTGAACAATTCTCCATGATGAGAGAGAGTTGGTTACCTCCTGCTCCCTATGGTTAGATGTTCACTTAGGAAAGTCCTGGAACTGAAATCCTGACTTCCTGTAAGTGCGTAGCACAGGTCCTGGCATCACAGGCTCCTTAACTGCTCCAAGCGGTAAGAAGAGTTCAGTCCTTGTTCGTGGCCCTTGTAGAAGCAACTTGGAAAAATTTATGGTGAGTTCTAACTCTAATGTACTTGCATGCCTGCCATGGAATGGACTAGCTCCTGAAATTGGCTTTTAAAGGTCTAACGCGCTGATTTGACCTTCCTAGTTATTTGTAAGCACAGTTTGACATTTGGATAATTAAGCACATAATTTACGGCTGAAAAGGGAGTGCAGGTTTTTTTTTTTTTTCCTGGGATCTGACCCAAGATGTGGATAGGTCATGCTAATAGGAGTCCTTATATCTCTTCCCTGACTTCAGTAAACTCACCCTGAATAAGGTTATAAAACTTATATTGATAAGTCTTGGCTTTGAGAGATAGCAGGTATGGACAATCTCTACTGAAGTGAGTTGGTACTGTTGTAGTTAGCGTGCTTCAGGATAGTCTCAAAGGGGTTCCTGCTATCCTTTCTTCTACATGAAGATAATGCTTGTATTAAATATTTATATGGGCGGAAATATTTTCTTTGTGGTTGGCACTGTGGTTATACTGTAGCAAGATAACCGATGCAGTTCCTGTGAAACCACTGGTCTGTCTAACTGACATAATATCCGCTGGGGTGAATAATAAGGATGGTCTGAATCCAAAATGTCTTGACAGGCCTTACTTTATCGGTCATGGCACGAGCACACAGCTGGGATGGGGGGATCATTTGAGCATGCAATAGGAGCACAACAGTGCAAGCACGTGAGTACCTCTGTCATCATGAGAAGTCGGTTTCTGGAGAGAGCTTTCCACTTGTAGAAAACCACCTTTTGCTCTATTTCATAAGTTTCCACATTTTCTGTAAGTTCCACAAACATACGTATGCAAAGATAAAATCAGTCCCTGATGTAGCTTTATGGGAGCAGAGAACGCTTTCATGACTGATGAGCTGCCTCGTACACAACTCGCCGGCAGCAGCCATGGCTGCATGCACGCTTACTCTTTCGCGCCGGCATAATGGTGGGTAACTGCTGCATGGTGCTTGGCTGCGATATGGGCAGGGCTTTGGTCTCCGAGTACCCGGAGTGGGTGCAAGGGGCTGGCAGCTGTTGTCCTGCTGGACTTGGGTGTAGCGTGTTTAAAAAGAAGAAGAATCTACATTACACTTGTCCAGAAAAAGCTTTCTTGCTCACGGCTCTTTTTTGTTGAACCCTCTTCAACCTAGTTTAGATTACAGCTGTACTGCTCACCCATTGTAAAGGTGGTGTGTGTGTCTCCATTGGTGAAGGAGGGGATGGATGATTAGAGGTTGGTCCTAAGTTGGACCTCTGGATCCAAACCCCGTGAAACTTTGAAAAAGGTCTGAGTCCCATATTGAGCTCTAGGGCTCTGGGCTGTGGCTCTAATGTTGGGCTACAGGATAGATGCACAAAACCCAGCTGTGCTGTCAAAGTTTGCTTCTGAACCATATGACACTAGCTAATGCCTAACACAGAGACCTCTCAGACTGGCTGTATAATGTACTGCAATCTGCTTAAGAAAGGGAACTTAGAACTTGTTTTTGCATTGCAAATTCTCTCTAGAGCTTGCTTGGATATGGCCTTGTACTTTTTAAAGCCACATTTTCCAAATCTTATCTCTAATTGCGTAAGAGGTGTAGATGTACTTGAATGCCCAGATAGTTCACTCTGAGCCCACAGCTCAGAAGCACGTTTCTGTCACCACTTTAAATACAGCAGCTGTGTTTTTCCTGAGACCCTGTACATTTCCTGCAAGAACATCCAGGAAGATTTCTTGGTGACTTTAGATGCTATAAATACCCCATAATGGCCAACGGTCTGTTTTGTGATACAGCTCTAGGCTGCTGTTATTTTGCATGTTTCCAGTGGTGCAACTGGTTCCCCT